CTTCAAGTGCCAGATGTCATCTGCTCCGTCCGCCCCTCGCCCTGCTGCTAGCCCGTGGTAAGGGCCCTGCTAAGCAGCTCTGTCTGTTGGAGGACACTTGCAAAAGTGCATGGAAGATGGACTGTGCTTGCGCACTCTCTCTCCCTCCTCCCATTCTCTGCCTTTCAAGTAAATGAATCTTTTTTAAAAAGTTGATGGAAAATGTGCATTATGAAAAAAAAAAACTGCATGAATTTCAAAAATTGTTTCTGCACCAAAATAAACTACCTCCCTGTTTCATTTTTATGAGTGTTTTCTACAGCACTCGCACAGGTCTGCCTCCACCAGGGAACTCGGAGCAGCTCAAGCACTCCGCTTACCAGAGGCGCTCAATAAGTGCACGGGGTACACACTGGCCACCGAGCAACCGTCAGCCCTTCTAACAGAAGAACAGCAGAGAACTCACAGGATTCTCCAAATCCTCGTTGCCAGACTAAGGTCGTGTCGGGGGCAAACGCTTCAGCGAGGGCGAGGAAAGTCAGGACGCAGGGTCCGGTCCAGGCCTGCTGCGGCCCCACCCTCAGCAGCCCCATGTCCAGAAGCTCAGCACAGGGCGGGCCAGATGACCTCTCGATTCCACGACTTCCTGGCACGAGAAAACTGATCCGGCCTGAGCGAGCCCAGTCAGCTCCTGTCCTCACAACTGGACGCTCCTGCGCACGCCGCGGGCATTCAGCGAATACTTGTGGCATGACCAGCGGCCTCAATTGGGGCCCCAACACCCTAGTGAGCCGCAGAAGGCCTGGGGCCACGCAGCCCGCCACCAGGTTCAGCCGAGGGCAGCCAGGCGGAGGGCGAGGGCAGCCAGGCGGAGGGCGAGGCCCCCGCACGCCGGGAGAGGCCAGTGGCCAGGGCGCCCTGTGGTCCTGGGCGAGAGCTGCGTGCCCCGCTTCTTCTGGGGCTTTCTCTTCTTGGCCCTCCTCCCCCCCACCCCCTCCTGACTGACACCAATGGCAGCTCTGACATGATTTAAAAATAGATATGAAGACAAGGAAGTTTAATTTTTAATGCTTCGGAAAGGAAGTGAACACACAGCTGGCATTCCCTCAGGGCCACGTTCCTGGGGCCTCGGGGTACGCGCCAGGCCCTTCATCTGTCCCCGACCCAGGCAGAGCCACGCCTGGCCCCTGAGTGCTCGGGGAAGCTGCTCGGGGCCTCTTGCTCCCCACCCTCTCCAGCTCAGTCTGCATCACCTCTGCCAAGAGAGGCCAGTCTGAACCCACACTGTGGGTGGGACCCCCAGAGCTCACCACCTGCATCAAAAGGCAGTGATTGGTCCCGGCCAGGGCCCGACCCCACTTACGAGAGGTAAATCAGGGACCCCGTCCACCTCCATCCTGCCCCGGCTCCCTGTGCCATCCTCGCCTAATTGGCCTTTATGAAAGGAGCAATCCCCAAGGGCCGGGCTTTCCAGTGGGGCCACGATGTCACTGTTCTGCCTGCCCTGATTAACGTGACAGGGCAGCTCTGCCAGCCGGCAGAAGTGACCGTTATCCCAGGTGGCAATCATGCCAGCAACCCCAGCCCCTCCACCCCTCAGCATCACACACAACTGGAATTGGGCACAGAGGAGCCGGCTGGGATTGCGATTTGCTGCCAAGGAAGGGATGGAGGTGCCCTGTCCAGCCCAGGCTTGTACACCCCCTCTCCTCTGCTCACAGTCAAAAGCAAGGGGCCCAGACTCCCTCACTCTCTCCAAGAGTACTCCCCCAGCCTGGCCAGGGGATTCCGACACAGGGCTGAGCCGGGGATAGTGAGATGCTCCCATGGATACCGGAGCTGGGGGACAGGACCCTCAGTACAGGGAGGCTCTTGTCCCGATCAGGCCTCCCGTTCCTCACTGGCCAAGCTGCCCACGTGTGCTTAGGGCCTTGAGACCCAAAGTGGATGAAGCAGAAGACAAGGCAGGGGCAGGACAAGGCTGGATGACCTCTGACGCCCTCTCCCCCACCCTCCTCCTCTATATCGGGCACCCCTCACCCCTACAGTGCACTGCAGTGCCAACGTGACTGGCACTGGCCAGCCAAAGCTGAGGGTGCCGGGAGCATGCCTGGACCCCTCACCACCACCAGCAGGCAGGCGCCGAGGAGCCGAGAAGGTACTTGCCCTTTCCTTAGCAGGCTCCACTTCCCATGCTGTCCCTCAGGGAGGTCGCCGAGCCCCCACCAACACGGACGTGGCAGGACCCCACCTGCACGCACGCACTCCTCCAAGGAGGTTGCCGAGTGAGCCAGCTGTACCTCTGCCCCACCCTAGGAATCAGCTCAGGGCAGGCAGGGGGTGGGGCGGCAGCGGAGGGTCTGGAGAACAACGGGGGAGGCTCCACCATCTACACCGAGAACTCTACTCCCTGCAGGCCTCAAGTTCAACTCCAGGACCCCAGCAAAGCCTCCGCTGGGGGTCTCAGCCATGAGACCAGATAATTCCCAACAGTTGCTCCTAGTGCCAGGGTGCTGGGCTTGACCCCCACCCCACCCCTTCACCTCCCTGTGCACACAGCAGCAACAGTGGCTTCTGGGATCCTGCCTCAGACACCCTACCTCCTCATTCAGCTCTCTCCTCTGCTCCTTCCCCCCCGCCAAGGTGAGCGCCGCCTTGTCGGCTCCTTATGCCCAAATCCTGGCCAACCCCCCTACAAACAACAGTGGCCAGCACTCTGGCTCAGCCACACACCCACTTCCCTTCTGCTGGGTCACTCTTCTTCCCTGAGGTCTACGTCTTATTTCACCACCTTCAACGCCACTAGCATAAAAGATCTGGGTCTTGCAGACTCAATTTTCCCAGCTCTTACTTGCCATGGGAATTCTGAAAATATTAAGCAATAAGAAAAATCAGAGAGAAGGAGAAAGGTACGAAACCCAGTAAAAAGAGTATAGTCGGTACTTTTTAATTAGGAAGAAACGGCACACTGTCTCGCTGTACACCTTAAAGGAAGGACGTCTCACTAACTGGCTCATTAGATTCTGCTGGGCTTTTCAGGAAGGGTCCCAGCTAAGGAGCTGAGCCATCATCAAAGGCAACTTTGATTTCTAACTTCTCTTCCCAAGCAAGTGGGTTGTGGGGATCCCTACCACGTGGTAACATGCTGCAGATTCACAGCTCTGACCTCCCACTCACTCACTCACAAACTGAACGTGACTGTCTGCAATGTGCAGGGTATGGAGCACTGTGCTGGCCTTGGGAGACCCTCCCCAAACCAGGCCAGCACCATCCTGGAGAACAGAAGGCTCCTACCAGCAGTTATACCAACTACAGCCAGCAGGTGGCGGGGTGGGGGTGGGGAGGAGCCGGCCGGCGCTGCCGAGTAGGAGTTGCTGGCCCAAGGCACAGAGTAACCCCAGGTCTCGCTAACAAGTGTGAAGTGCTTGCCCAAGTTGAACAGAGAGGTCGGCCGAAGCTGTGAACAGGAACAGGGAAGGCAGCTGGGAACAACAGAACAGCCGTGTGGATCCAAGAGGCACCAGAAAAACGCAGGCCAGGCCTCCGCACAGATGCTGGCGAGTGAGTCAGAGGAGCAGGAGGCACTGGCCCACAGGCGGCGACAACGCCATTCCTGGCATTCCAGTGCAGCAAGGAGGAGAGGATCTGCCCAGCCTCTGCAAGCCACCGCCACCCAGCAGGTAACACCTAACAGTGGGGGGCCGAGGCCAGGTCTTCTCAGCCCAGTCTCCCTGGAAAAGCAGCAGCGGCCCCTGCCGGGGTGGGGGTAGGGAGCATTCCCTCCCCAGACACCCAGAGAGCCAGACAGCACTAGAGTGCCCGTGCACGGCATTCATGAAGCGAGGACAGCGGGCAAGGCAATCCCAATAGCCCCTGCCCCACTGGATAGGGGTGGGGAGTAGGGGGATAGTGGGGGGAATGGAGGGCGCAGTTCTTAAGGGGCCTGGTGTCTTGCCCAAGGTCATAGGGAGCTAATGCAGAATTAAGAGCCTGGTCTTTGCTGGCCCTGAGCGCTCCCTTCGATGGGGCAAGTCACGCCTTCCGCACACACACCCCAAAAAGTTTTGCAGCTAAAGTGGGTCACTCTACACTCAAGCTGAACACCAACTGCTCCTGCCTACCCTGCCTCTCAATGACCGTCCCCTGCTCCAGGGCTCCTCCTGGACCGTGGGCGGCGGGGCGGGAGGAGAGAGATCCTGGGGCACAGCCAAACATCTGTGCGGACTAGGTCTGGGCTCTGGTGAAGGGAGGCGGAGGCAGCAGCTAGAACGCAGGGAAAACGAGAGACGCACTTCAGAAGTCTGCAGATATGCCCTACTAGGATTTCTCACACACGCGCGTGTGTGTGCCCGCCGCCTGGAGACTCCACAGAGTGCAGAGTGCCAGCCTCAGCTGCCCCACCCACTGATACCTTCTCTGGAAAACAGGCTCTCACCAAGGACTGCCCCATTGTCCCTCCCAGGCCCTGAGTGTGTGCAACAATGGCTCCAAAGCCCCAGCCACTGAGGGCAGCACCCCCTACGCCCCTCCTTTCCCACATAAGCCCCAGCTTGGGGCCAGCAACTGAGTCCATGGGCTTGGGACACCGGCTCCTTCCCCTTCCTCTTTTCCTAGTATTCCCGGACAGGAGTGGGAGGCAGAGACCTCCACACACACCCCCATCCCACTGCCATAAAATGCTGCAGTGTGCATCCTTGTGCATCCAGGAGGAAACCGGCAAGAAACTCAGAAAGCCCTCCTCCACGTGCCTATCTGCAGCCCGGGGCCACAGCCACTGACAATGCTGCGGGTTACCAGGGCCGGCACTTCCAGCGCCGGCTATCTTAAAGGCGGAGGAGGTGGCGCAAAGTTTGCTGGCCGCAAGTTGGAGCCTCCACCCAGCCACCAAGGAGAAAGGAAGAGGGCGATGCACGCGAGACCACGGCTCTCACGGTCGTGCGGAGCGGAGCCATGCAGCACGCTACCGAGGCGTTCGCGCCGCGGTGAGCAAACGGGGGGCCGCGGCGAGCGCAGGGACTTACCCAGAAAATCAGGTTGAAGAGGAACATCATATACTTCAGGCAGCAGAGGCAGCCCCTGGCCATGTTGCACTTCTTAAATTCTAGGAGGAACACAAAGGACAGGTCCAGGTAAAACACCACGTACTTGCTGCCTTTGGGGGCATTGTACTTGTCGGTCTTCACGCCGGCCTCGGCGCGGCTCTGGCCCCGAGAGCCCGCGGTGCCGTAGAAGGCGCCGGCCGTGAAGCCGCGGCCGAACGGGCGGCCTGAGCTGGACGGTTTCGCAAAGTCCGAGTCCTTGCTATCCAAAGACGGGCTCCGGTGAATGGAGGAATCCTCGCTACTCGACTTCTCCATGCTCGCGTCTTTGCCGGCGGGCGCGAGGGGCGGGGGGCATCGCTCCCACGGCGGGACGGAGGGGGCGCCCCAGGCGGGCGCGGGCTGCGGGCGGGTCGGCGGGGCCCTGCCCGCCCCCTCTCCGCGCCGGGGCTCACTCCCGGCTGAGCCCCGCGCCCCGCGGCCGCTGCCGCTCGGACGGCGCCCGGCGGCTGCGGGCCGGCCGACCCGGGAGAGCTCTGCGGCGCGGCGCGGCTATGTGTGCGCTCGCGAACTTGGCGTCTCAGGGGCGGCTGCAACTGGATTTCTCTTTCCGGGGCGTCCGCTCGGCTCCCCGTCGCCCCACGCGAGGCAGGAGGGCGCCGGGATCCAGGCTCCCCGGGCACACCTCTCCCAGCCCCGCTCCGGCGCTGAGCCCGTGCACTTGGCCGGCGCTCCGCCTCCTCTCGCTCCGCCACTTTGCGGAGCAGCTGCCGGCCCTGGGCTGCCCGGGCGCGCGGCGGGCTGTGCCGAGGGATCCGCCGCAGCTGCAACCGCGGGGTTTCCCCTGCGAAATCCCAGCCCCGACTCGCGGAGCTGAGGTCGCCCGGAGCCCCATCCTCAGGTCCCCGCTCCCGCTCTCGGCCACTAATCGGACCATTGCCTTTAGACAGGACACACACGGTAGCTTGGGGGGGGACCCACACCTCACCGATGTATCATCACATGAATGCGAAAATGATTGTGATTAGCCAAACAAGAGTGCTCCAAAATCTTAAGCTCTTGCCAACGACGCTAGCTCTGCGGTTGGATGGAGCACTAAGAACAACAGTGCTACAGTGTAAGTTGTGCTAGTCACTAC